ATCATCAAATCCTTACCTTCTTCTTCTTAGGATCATGCTGTATATATGAAGAATTGGCCAGGGATATTTCTGGTGACGCGGTGTCAAGTAAACAAGGTCGACTGTTACAGGACTTTGTCGAGGCTGGCCGAGGATTGTTGCACAGAGAAGATGGTCTCTCCACCACGTGTGATTGCGCCATTATTTGTTTGCATTCCACCTGATGTAAGAAACATCTTGTAAATTTACAAATAAGAACTATCTTTGTTTAGGTAGACACGTGTACAGAATAACAGAGTTATTACAGTATACAAAAAATAATGTAATAAATAATATTTCTTCACATAAACCAGTGTTACCTCTCTCTGTTTCACTCCACCTCCACATGTCTTGGAGCACTTGGACCATTCTCCAGTATGCCATCTTACTGGACAATCAAGTACATTACAGTATTGTCGGTCAGGAGGTGGTGGCTGTGGACACATGCTGTTTGGCACCACAACGGTGTTTGTACCACCTCGAGTCACCTGGAAAACAAAAGAGGTCAGCAAAGTGTTGAGAGCAGTGTATCCCATCTTTTTGGTGGACAAGGAGTTTAGGTTCTACCGAGTTGGCATACTGGCCAATAAGACCTTTGCCTTTTTAGTTATGGACAAATATAAGGGAAAAGAAATAGGAGAATTGCGCGGGAGTTTTAAAAAGGAGATTTAGTCGTTAATAGAATCTGAGGTCACTATGCTAAATATGCATGTAGTATTATTTATGTATTTTAACAACGTAATCGAAGCATTTTGGCTGCTGAAGAGAAGCGTTGATTGATTGTTATGAATGGTGCTATAAAAGAGAATTAGAGGAATCAGCATATGTGTAAATACTTAATCGACGTAATGTTCTTTACTGTTTAACCGAACGTTGATTGATTTACTATCAATAGTAAAAGCTTTGAAAGTGAATCATTGAACCTTCATTCTTCTAGTTTTATGCTTTTTTTGATGATTTGCGTGCAGATAGATTATCATCATCATCATCATCAGATCACTATACGTCCCCACCGAGGGGCTCGGGGCCTACCCTAAGTTAAAGGTGATTAGGCCATAGTCAACCACGCTCTCCAAGTGCGGGTTGGTTGACTTCACACATATCTTTGAATTACTTCTCATATATGTGCAGGTTGCATCACGATATTTTCCTTCACCGTAAGAACGTCGGATAAATGTACATATGTAAATCGGAAATCGAAAAACACATTGGTACATGGCGGGATTCGAACCCAGGACCTGCAGATTGCAAGTCAAGTGCTTGACCACTGAGCCACCGACGCTCCATTATAAATTTTCACAGGCGGTTAATTCATTTTCTATATTTGGAATTGAATTTTGGAGTATGAAATATTTGCAGATAAATAAAATAACTTACTTCATGTATACACGTAACTTCCCTCGTCTGTATGCCAATGCCGCAGGATTTAGTGCATTGCGAGAAGTCTGTATAGTTCCATCTGTAAGGAAATTGAAATTTTATGTATAGCTTTCTTTGATTTAAATGTAAGACACTTCGTATACAAAGCAACGTAAATCTTAGAAACTCTTCGTTTTTACGCAACGCTATGGTAAGGTACCACCGAAATTTTGGTTCATTAGTCTCCAAGTTGCTCCTAAATTGTTTGTCAAGATTGTCGTGACTTAAGTTGCTGTGATTTTCAAGATGGAGCAAATTAATACAGTTCATATGTCGTTATTCCTCTATTGATTGTATAGAATTGCGTTGAAGATTCAAAGTTATGGATACGGAACGCGTAATCCGATACACAAGAAGTAAAGATACAATATTAATTTCGAAGATTTGTGAACGAATCGCCTTAACAATTGTCAAAAAAGGTACAGACCATTCTTGACATTTGTTAAGGCCATAGGGTCTACTTCTGAATTGGAATGTATTTCTTCTTCTCACAGAATAAAAACAAATGAGTAAGAGTGATTGTCTGATGATTGCTGCTACTAATAACTTTACAATTCAAATAAAGAATGTACTAGTTTGAAAGTTAAATTACAAGAGTGATTAGTAAATTAATATCTTGTAGTTCAAATGCATGTAGACGAAAAAGTTTTACTTACCTAGGTGGACAAGGATGATCGTTGCATGTTCTTACTCTGTTCTCAGGTTTCGTAAGAGGATCGCACATGTATGGTGACGCGTTTTTACCATCTTCATCTCTTACGCATTGGATAATTAGCTCCTATATAGATATATTTAAGTTAATTAAGTGAAGGAAATATAAATAAAAATAAGTTTGTCGAAACTAATGCTATTTTACACCAATATTTTGGACATAAAATGTGTTAATACGTTCGATCTTAAGCATGTCTTCATATCCCTGACATTTTATAATAGCAATATCTTGCTAATATAAAATGTCAAATGTCATAACAGCAAGATATTGCTATTATAAAATGTCAGATCTGTAGTGACTACTAACTGATATGAAATAAGATATAATACCTGTACACCGCTAAGACAGGAAGCGCTGCAACTCGTATAGCCTTTCTCTTTCCAAGAATATGACTTGCCTGGTGAACCAGGTGCCACTCTAATGTTACTCGACGTTCCAAAGATCATAGACCTGGTAGAAAAAGAATAACTGAATCTACACCATAACTTTTATAACTGTCTGTTTAAACATTATTTACAGAATTTTTATAAAAATGTAAACTCTTTTACCTTAAGTTTCTGAGACCAAAAATCATTATAGAAACATATCGTCATCTTTTTCATTATCTTATTATCTCAATACAGATATATAAAAATGTTTTAAACGGTGATTTTCGAATCTGTCTCAGAAACCCACAGCTAAAGAATAAAGAAAAATAACAATGCTATATAAGATGAAAGAGACCGTCAAGGTGACCTTGAACGATGTAGAGGATGTTAAATATGTTGTTGCTAAATCCTTCCTTTATCAATTGACCTGATATATAATAGATAGCTGTCGCTCGCGACTTCGTTTGCGTGGAATCAAACAAGAACATAATTGGTAGTCTATGTGTTCTTCCAGATTATGTTCTATATATGCCAAATTTCATCGAGATCCGTTGAGCTATACAGGAGATATCTTCAAACAAACATCCATTCATCTAAACATTCGCATTTATATTATTTGTAGTCCGAATATATTTGAACAAAGAAACATTATATCATTGTTTTGATATAATTCATTAAATTTAAATAAGTTTGAAAGCTCACGGGTCTAGCACTTGACTTGAAATCTGCAGGACCTGGGTTCTAATCGCACGATGTACCAATGTGTTTTTCCATTTCCGATTTACATATGTACATTTATCCGAAGTTCTTACGGTGAAGGAAAACATCGTGATGCAACCTGCACATATCTGAGAAGAAATTCAAAGATTTGTGAAGTCAACAAACCCGCACTTGGCCAGCGTGGTTGACTATAGCGTAGTCACTAACTTAGGGTAGGCTCCGAGCCCCTAGGTGGATACGTATAGTGAGCTGATGATGTAATTTGTAAACGTAATAGCAATTACAAGATATATTATTCCACATACTAGCATATATAGTATGTTTACTTTTGATAACCCTTATCTTTAAATTATCAAATATATCAGTGTCATATCGTAGTCATTTCGAATCAGTTTATGATATAGTCCGCAATTCCAAAAGGAATATGTCTTTAGATGTTAATATAAGTGAACCAGATGAATTTAATTGTACTGAACTTCACAGTTGCATAGAAAATGTAGCTAAATTAAATAACATAAACGATTTCACATATCATGTCGAATTCGCGTGTGGTAAAGGTGAAAATTTTATAGCAAACGTGTTCAGAGTTGAAATTAAAGATACGTTAGATTGTGATCGTAAAATTAGCGTTATTATAAAGACATTAGTGAATACAACTAGACAAGAGTTATTTAGACAACTACATAAAAGAGAAGTTAAAGCTTATGAAGAGGTGTTATCAAAATTTGAAATTCTACAAAGCAAGTTAGATGTTACTAACAGAATTGTACTACCTGGTTGTATCTTATCTGATATGAAGAGAGGCAATGAAGTACTTATTCTAGAAGATTTAGTTTCAAAAGGATATGAATATGAAACCAAAGTTAATAAACTAAAGAATCTAGAATATGAACAAGTTTGTTTAGTATTGAGAAATCTAGCAAAATTCCACGCTCTCTCAATTGTATTTGAATTGAACGATAAAGAAAACTTTATTAAACTAAAATGTGAATTTAAAGATGTTCTTTATCAAGAAACATTTCTTGATAAAAGTAAACTAAGAAATTATTATACGAATTGTTACGAAGATTCTATACAACTATTAGATGATTTGGAAGCAAGAACGAAATTGCAATATGTAGAAACAAAATTAATGCAACTTTTAAGATATTATACATCTCCACGAACATTCAATGTACTCTGTCATGGAGATTGTTGGATAAATAATTTCTTATTCAAACAAAAGGTATGATATAATTTAATGAATTTAATTACAAACCTTATTAAGAATCTGATGTATACATGTTTAAAATTATCGGAGAATTTCACTTCCTTGTCCACTTGTATTTACATATTTACATCCTTTTCATTTTCTTTGACAGTATAGAGACAACAATATACATCAATAAACGTGTTATTGCAATGGATTTCTACGGTTATAATTATGTGTTAACTAGCTATCGCCCACGACTCCGCCTGCGCGAATTTAAGAACGGAAGGAACTTAGTATGTGTTCTTCCAGACTATATGTTCTAAATCTATGCCAAATTTCAGCATGATGTATGCAGTCGTTCGGAAGATATCTTCAAACATAAGGATGGCCTTCCATCCATACATCCATCCATCTAAACATTGGCATTCATTATAGTACTTATTTAAGATATTTTTTATTTTCCAGGATAACATCACAACGGATCTATGTTTTTTGGATTTCCAAGCCATGAGATATTCTAATCCCGCTACAGATCTTGTTTATTTTCTTTTTTTATCAACTGACTCTACATTCCGATGTAAATATATGAAAGATATTTTATCTGTTTATTACGAGAGCTTTACGACATTTTTAAAACTATACGATATAGATTCGAATTCAGTTTATACTAAGGATTCATTTGAAGTGGATGTACAAGAAATGTTGCCTTTCGGAGTACTTATTACTCTGATAGAATTAAGAATAGTAACAACGTTTGAAGATAAAGAAATAAGTGAATCTACATTACACCTTGATCAATGCATATCAAATGAAAGCAATGAAGAAATGTTATTAAAAATAAGACTGGATGATGTCGTTAAAGAATCTGTGCTAAATGGTACATTGGATAGATTATGTGAACAAATGAAATTGCTCAACTAAAGGATCCTAAATTAAAAAAAATTAATTACTATTATTTTACTTGTATTTATTTAATAAAATCAAAGAACATCAGAAGAATTGAAGAATTATCAACCATAATGCTTTGTATTTAAGTCTCTTTTGGCAATACTTAGATATTATGACCAATTTGTCACTTTGCCGATTACATCTCATATCCCACGTTCTTAAGGGGTAGGAACATCGTGATGCAACCTGTACATATCAGCGAAGAATTTCAAAGATGCGTGTGAAGTCAACCTGCACTGGGCCAACGTTGATAATAGCCTTGTCACCTAACTTAGGGTAAGCAGAGCTCCTCATTGGGGACGTAAGTTGTTGATAATGATTTCATATTGTTATTTATCATCAGCTCGCTGTACGGCCCCACCGTGAGGCTCGGAGCCTATCCTACGTCAAGGGTGACCAGGTCATAGTCAACCACGCAGGTCCGGTATGAGTTGGTTGACTTCACACATATCTTTTAATTTCTTCTCAGATATGTCCAGGTTGCATCACGATGTTTTCCTTAACCGTATTAATAAGTAAATCGATAAAAACATATGTTCATGGCGGTATTCGAACCCAGGACTTGCAGGTTACAAGTCAAGTGCTATAACCCCTGAGCCACCGACTACAACGCATATTATAATTAATAAAGATTTAATAGTAACGTACCTGTCTCCTGTACCGTATGACGGTATACTAGAGTCTCCAAAAGATGTCCCATATGCCATTGAACACGGTTCCATGACGCATCTCTCCGTTTCTTCCGTCGGCTTCGGTCCCATGCATTTGCTGTCTGGTAATTTTGCAATGGTTCTACTGAATTCTAAAAAAATCTTGCAATGAACCTCCTTCTTCCTCCAACCTTCACCGCATGTCGTACTGCATGGACCCCAGTCATCGTCTTTGATGTAACTATAAATAAAATAAACAATTGAATAGATTGCAGTTGTTTTACTAGAAAATCTATTGGAAAACATTTTATGAATGCCTTTAAAAGTTTATGGTTGCGATATAAATAAAAGAATCTAGATCAGATATTCCTACACTTTTTCTGAACCAAAAAACCAAGGAATGGACCCTTTTATATCGATTCTTTTACTTGTAAACCCCAATTTGAATTCCTGTCATTGTAAATCCTTGTCGATTCTTCCGTGAATCCCAGGGGATGCTTCACTACTTAGGGAATCTCTGATCTAGATTAAAATACCATATTCTAGGAAAAAATCACACATGATTTAACATGCGCGTGCTGAGGATTAATTGAACCGATCTTAAAGCTAACAGTTACACCTCATCTGTCCTGGCTGGTTTATGTATAAGTATATGCACCAGTGTTAATCAAACTTATATAAAACGGTTAAAACACTCACGTATATTCGTCCAGCGGGGGCCCTTTATCAGGGTGAGTGGGACTGGTATTATTTTGCGGACGCAGCCTGTCGCTCACTAATGAAGGGCCCCCGATGGGCTCGAAACTAGTCGGTGCCGCCACCGGACGAATATTCGTAAGTTTAGCCGTTTTTATATAAGTTTATTATAATGTCTCCGAAAGTTTGAATAATTTGATTACCAGTGTTAATCTGTATACATTTTTAATCTGTTATATTTTTTTATAAGAATTCTTTTTCAACTATAGAGCACTCTATGTAACAAAGTAGTCATGTTCCTGTCGGTGCCAGAAATATCCAGTTTTGTATCGAGAAAGTGTAACGAAGCAAAAAAAAAGACACAATGTGTGCGGAGAATAGAGTGCAAGGAAATTCAAACTTTACTGTGCAGTGCATAGAGTAGGAAATAATAGAAACTCTTTAATTGTAATAGAAAGCAATGAACAGGCAAATGATTAGGTACATTTAGTTGTAGATATTTTGTGCATAGAAAGAGAAGTGTGTTTAGTTGTGTTAATATCTATTTCGTAGCTAAATTCTATGATTTAAAGATTGTATTATTGATTTGTGCCTATTTCTAACTGTTATATTCAAAAAGTGTATTTGCTTTAAATATACTTTTCGATATATTAAATATAAAAGAGCTAATCGTAAAATGGACCGGGCGTTGGATTTGTGTTGATGGAAATATAATATTTATCCTTATAAAATGTGTGGATGTTATTCTGAAGAGAAAAGTGAAACCTTTATAACTTTCAGAAGGTACAATACCTTACATACAACCAGCCACACGCAAAGAATATTTTGTAATTGCTGAAAACAACAACAAAATACTCTGAGCTTTATACAAGGAAGATATAACGTTGAATTTCGAATGGACACATCGTTGTCTTTGTTGTTTCAAAAGGAATGTAAGAGATAACAATATATTTCAAGAAAAGAGTCAATACATTCTAAATCCACGGTAAAAGAGTAAACAGATACATAATATTTCAACGACATCGACTGTTAACGAAAACCCATGCATTAAAAATAAAAAGATTTAAGAATTTTTCAAGATTTTTTTGTGGAAACTTGAAAGCGCCTGATGAAATTTTTCCGCAAATATTTTTATTTAGAGAATTGAAAAATTAATTTCCTTTTAAAGCGGTTTGCATGTTAACGCTTAAATCTAAATTAAGAATATTCGAACCGTAACATCTACTTCGAATCTAGATTTTTCTTTGTCATCAATAAAGGTTCTTAAAAAATCAAATCATTAAAATAGTCTGTTTTTTAATTCAACTATTCTTATTTTAAAATCCTTTAATTACAATCTTGCGCTCCTTCAATCTTAGTCATTAATTTTATTTTAGAACCAGCTTTTCTAAACGTAAGCTCTACCAATTTTTAGTTATTTGAAGCAATTATCTAATAAAATAACTAGTTAGTAGATTAATTAGAAGTTAATTAATTAGTCAATTAACTAACTATAATTATTTATATACTAATATTAGTGCATTAAATATATATTTTCTTACGTAGTACAATGACGTTAATATTGCTTTGCTCTCTAATAATTTTGTTATCATTCTAAGTCCATCTTGTTTTAATAAACTCTTTAAAAAATGCTTTAAAATAAGAAATTTCTTATATGAACCTAATGTATTGGGACAATAGAGCGTCGGTGGCTCAGTGGTCAAGCACTTGACTTGCAATCTGCAAGTCCTGGGTTCGTATCCCGCCATGTACCAATGTGTTTTTCAATATCCGAATAACATATGTACATTTATCCGACGTTCTTACGGCGAAGGAAAACATCGTGATGCAACCTGCACATATCTGAGAAGAAATTCAAAGAAATGTGTGAAGTCAACCAACTTCACTTGGCTTGCATGGTTGATTATGGCCTAATCACCCTTAACACAAGGTAGGCTCCGAGCCCCTCGGTGGGGACGTATAGTGAGCTGATGATGATGATTGGGACAATTTAAATTAATACCTTTATCGAATAACTTTTAAAACCACTATCCCACTAATACGACTACGGCGTTGTTCGCATTCGACTTTTATTCCTTAGGCCATACTCCTGCCAGTGGAAATACCAATATTGCTCTATAGCAGTCACTTGTTTCAATCGAACGGCTAATGGCTTAGAAATGGGTCTAAATCTCGTCAGGTTTATACCAGTTTTCCGCGTAAGTTCTAGGATCTGCTAATGTTCATGGAATTTTTGGTACTTACGTGGCTTCAACAGGGACTTCTGGTTCTCCGATTAGTCTTTCAGCTTTGGCTTGAGGTGGGGGATATGGCTGGATGAGTGGTTGTGTGTGGTACACCACGCCGGGTAAAATGTCTTCAATGTCGTCCTGTAATATTGATAGTGTTTTGGTGATAAAGAAATTTAACAGTCCATTTTAGTGAGTCTTCATCGTCCTGCCATTTTCTTTTAAGGACTGCTTTCGACAGGTGAGTAGAAGAATATCAATGAGCAATATCCCTTTTATGCATTATTGTTAAGACAGCAGTTAATATTTTTAGAGATATTTAGAGTAAGAGAATTTTATTATCTGATCCTAAAAAATTGACGGCCGAGGTCGGATGATGGAAACTTCCTTACCTCAGTTTCATCAGCTTCTCTGTACGCAGGACAACTAATGCCAGTAGAACAAGGTCTGGAGATGTCAGGTCTTGTCATTGGGTTGCAGCCACCGCCGGCTGGTGTGCACTCAACTCCTCTCACTTGGACACCTTCGCCGCACGAAACTGAGCACTACAAAACACGCAAATAGATTTAAAATTCCATGAGATGCAGAACAGAACACATCCTATTCTATTCTTATTGGTATAAGGGCTGAAAGAATTCATTTGTTTTGTATTCATGCTTTGTATTTAGATGTAATTGTTTTGTTTTTTTATTACTAGATGGCGCTGTACTTTTCTTTAAACACACTATCATCTTGTCAACTATGTTTTTTGGATAAATAAAATATTATTAATTGGTTTGTTGGAAGTAACAGCCCGAGCCGAGGCTAATGAGGGAGCCCTCGAGTCTTGTTACTCTTAAACGAGGTTTAGGCTAAGCGCCGTCTGCGCTCGGCCACCTCAAGCCCGGTGAAGGTGTAAATGCCTCTTCAAGGCAAACAGTGACTACTCAGTCACAAAAAATTGTTTGTATTGTGTATTGTTGTATAGCAAATCATACAATCTATAAAAATTAATATGAATTTGGCTATTATTTTCATACTGGTTGAATTTATTACAGTATTTGAGACGTGCCTGCTTGTACCATACTCTACTTGTTTGATTTATTAGTCAGAAAAAGCAATGTAGAATAATAAAAGGTTAATAATTCCTAGATTTGATTTTTATGGAAAGAAATATCGAAATGTTCTATTAGCCCAGTACACAAGAGTGGTTCTTTACAATTGATTGTTATTCTAAAGGGGGATCGTCGTCTGTCGTCTCTTCGCTTGAGATCCGCGAATGCGTCGCGTGGCCGAGTTTTAACGCGGCAATTAAATAGATGACCGTACGAATAACGGCTCTTTAACAATATGTGATTACAACACGTTATGGTGGTTCGATCCTAGAGATTCTAAACAATTTGACCAGATTAGTTCTAGACAATGCTACTTAAAAATATGCTTTATCTACCCTAATCTGTGTAAATTATTGTCATGATTCATGATTTCTCTGCATTTTTTATAATAAAAATAAACCCAATCAGTAGCCTATGTGTTCTTACAGACTATGTTTACATCTATGCCAAATTTCAGAGAGATCTGTTGACCCGTTCTTGAGATATTTGCAAAACATCCATCCATGTAAACATTTTTTTTTATAACAGAAGGGGGCAAACGAGCAGCGGGAACACCGAAGTGTTCAACGACGCCCATGGACATCAGCAATACCAGAGGAACCGCAGATGCGTTGCCGGCCTTTGAGGTGGTGATAGGCTCGCTTCTTGAAGTTTTCTTCTTCTTGAATTCGCATATTAGTAATATTTGAAATGATTAAAAAAATTTGCGACATAAACGGTTGTATCTTTTGATTGGGTTGGCTTAGAAGTTTAATTTTTCACAGCACCAAGTGACCGCAGACCTGAACATTTGATATAAATTCCAGCTTGATACCTTCACGCGTTTTTGAGAAAAAGTGTCTTGACAGACGGACGGAGGGACAACAAAGTGATCCTATAAGGGTTCCGTTTTTTTCCTATCAGGTACGGAACCTTAAAAATAAAAGTTAACTTTTTAAAATACTTTAAAAGAAATGTTTACTATACACTCCGTATTGCAATAGTATAGCTTTTAGTAGAAACTCCTTCAATGCTTTTAGTTCAGTGGTATTTTTATAGAACACATTCCATGAATAGAAAAGAATAAACAACATTGAATCTTTTAATATAGATAAGTGAATGAAAATGTATTTAAAATGAATTTAAAAAAGTTTTAGATTTTCGTACTGAAATAGTCTTATGACCAAAAATAAACTTAGCTTAATTATTTCTAAAATAACTAACTGACATGAGGGTTTTGAGGTTATGAATGGCTTGGTATGGCTTTTGTTTAAATGTATATTCCTGTAACCTTTAAGGACTGTTAATACTAGCTTTAGTTCTGTTTATTGATTTATTTTAATTTGCAATCAGTAGCCTTTCTTTTGATTCGTTTTTTTATTACTTAAATTGTTTCTTTTTTTTATTGGAACAAACGACTTTTACAGACTTGGTTCGTACTTTTATTTGCACGTATTTATTATGTTAATTTACAATCGTATTTTTTTTGTTTATTTTTTAGAACAGCAATCTATGGTCGTGGGAGTATTAGCTAGAATTTTGTTATTTTACAAGTGTTCGACAATGGAAACTCTATATTGTCCAAAATATTACTTTCATTAGTAAGGCAATATTTCAACGCAGCGGTTCGCAAATCAATGCTTCACAAAGTTCTATAACTTAGCAAAGTCGTATTGGTTTCGTGAATTAATTATAGTTTGATTCTTTGAACAAATTTAATATGAGAAGAGGTTTTACTAATGAATTTTAGATTCCAAATTAATTTAAATTGAGATTTGATTTTATAACTTTACCATCTTACTTCTTACTAATATTATAAATGACAATGTTAAGATGGAAGATCTCTGAAATTTGACATAAATGTAAAAGATAGTTTTAAGAACACATAGGCTACTAATTCAGATATCCTTTTCAGTCTCTTTGTCTATAAGTTTCTATACAAGCCTTTCTAGCCTTTAAAAGCCTTAAATATACTAGCTGTCGCCCGCGACGGTCCACGCGGAATTAAAGAAAACTATTGGTTTATTGGACTATAAAAAAAAAGAATTTTTGAAATCGGACCAGTAGTTCCTCAAATTATCGCGTTTAAACAAACATACTCTTCCGTTTTATAATATTAGTATAAATAATGTTTTAAAAACTATTCGTAACAAAAGCTGTCGTGAGCACAATGTTGCCAGTTCAATACTTTTAGTTCGGTTATAAAGTTTTATGTGAATATTCTATGAAGAACATGGCGATACGATTATTCAATATCTGATACAGATTTTATGGTACCCTAGTACACAAGGGTACACACGCTAATATTTTTTACAAAGACTAACAATATTAAAAAAATCTATAAAATGGCTATAAAGTCGTAAAGTTCTGTTAAAAGCAATATCATATAACTTGTTGCTCGTGTCTCCGTCCGCGCGGTATTAAAAAAAACTGAATAAATAGCCAATGTGTTCTTCCAGACTATGTTCTATATGTATGCCTAATTTCATCAAGATCCATTCAGTCTTTCTGGAGATACCATCTACCAAACATCCATTCATCCATCCATCTAAACTTTCGCATTTACAATGTTAGTAAGAAGTAAGGCTTTGGTGTTTGTATCTATCGATCTTTTAGTCTAATTCTCTAAATATCCCTGTTTTTAAGGCTGAATGCATCATTACTTCGTTTTGTGGTTTTAAAACTCGTTGCTAGCAATCATTGAATCCAACCTGTTTTTCTATAAAGTTCAAAATAATGATAAGGAATAAGAAATCACTATTTTTCTGAATAAAAATCAAGAATTGTAATTCATTCTAGTACCTACGTTGAATTTTTTAATTTATAACATAATACTTACTCCTGACCAAGCGCCAGCAATCCATATAGGGCATTCGTGTTCGTTGCAAGACTGTGAGGATCTTGGAGCTGGTGACACGCAGCCTGGTTCGGTAGATCCTATAGAAATAGCAATAATATTACAAAAAAGTTATTTGAAGCGCCTGAACTTTATTAATAGCAATTTAAAAACTATACAACCGCGATTTAAAAAAAATCTTTGCTATTTAAATTTGGAAGGCACATACAAATTTGGTTTATCGAGATTAATTCCCATTGATAGTGTTAATAATAATGAGAGCAATTCGAAGTGGTCTATATAATTTTGAAAGGCACTTCGTACGCGGTTTTACGGCTCATACTGACTCAATCCTTATGAACTCAACTCTACTGACAATATCAATAACCCCAAGTGAGTGCTAACATAAAATGCTTACGAGGAATTTTGCCATGGAACGTTACATTGTTGAAATGTTTTAACTAAAGTGAATATCTCTTTATATATTCAACTAAAATGTTTTGTGGGTATTCATCTATATTTAATGCAATTAAAAATTATAAAATTGATGTAGTCAGTTTCCGTTTGGATTTTAAATGTTACTTTCCTGACAAAAAACTTTACAAAATTATATCGTCCAAAGTCTTTAAACTCCAATATTTACTAAAAAATTAATCCACGGTTTATAAGTTTATTGACTTCAAACTTGTAAACAAGAATAACTAATGCTTAAGACCCCTCTCCCACTAAGCGAAAAGCTGTTTCTCAACCACTATTTATTAAGCGACTGTTTATAGAAAACGCAAGTTTATTCGCGGCTAATCGCGTAGTGAAAACAGGTCTTATTGTATCAAGGATATAAAATACCTGGTTGATAAGTATCAGCTCTAGTGACATTAGCAGATCTGGCGCAGAGGACACGCCGCGTGCGTAACCCACCGCCGCAACTCACGGTGCATGGAGACCATTCACCCACGTACCATCTAGTGGAGAACATAAACTTTGTAAGTAATTTTATTCATTGTGTTAATCTGTAAATTCTTATGTAAGCAGTAGTAGCTGCTAGAAGGTTAAGAAGTCTATCCTTTTCTCACTTATGGAATCGGTTTCAGTACGTCCCTTTCTTAACCTTCTGTGAGCCGTCATATAAGATAATTATAGGATATTAATGGCACATAACAATTGTGACACAAAGTAGTGAAAGTTTTGAACCCACTCTACTTAAACTTGTAACTAAGACTAAGTTGCTTAGTAGTAGTAGTGTTGAATTAAGTAATAACTTATTACTTGTAAGGACATGGATGCATGTTGCATCTAACTACAGCTGAACTTGGCTTGCTTGAGCCGTCACAGAGTTGCTCAGGCGCGTCCGTTCCCGTCAACCGATCCCGACAGACTGCCAGTGACATCTTGTAGCCTGAGGACATAATACTTGTGTTAATAGTTAATATAATTTAAATCCTTTTTCCACTAACCGACTAACTCTGACAACCTACGACTGTAGGTTTTATGACAAGTCCTGGCAAAAATTAAATTTCAGAAACTTCATAGTTATCATTCATTGTCAAACAGTAGTCGCGTTAGTGGAAATGAGGTTTTCGAATCAATAAAAAAGATTTTTGAAAATCACGGCGTTTTTAAAAATACTTTAGTAAAACCCATTTATTACACTCTCTCTTCATCAAATCATTAATCAAACTCAAATCGAACCTCCTATTCAATAACTCTATTTATAAGTCTTTTCAAATATTTTAGCTAACAAAGGTCATCGGCGCACTGCGCAGTGCCCTCCCCCCGCTACGCGCCGCTACTCCTAAAATTGTGTTCTGCGCACCAACTCGCGCGAACTTAAGAGCCGTCAATATATCTGAATACATTTATACATCATCTATAAGTATTACTAAACCCTCATCATACTATTTTTGTCTACATTAAGAGCATGCCTTTCAAAGTGTAAAAACTAGCTTTCGCCTGCAACTTCGTCGTCGCAGAGTAAGTGGCTGATAAATATGTCATGTATCACTCGAGACTATGTTCTATGTCTTTACCAAGTTTTATTTAGATGTGTTGAACCGTTGTGGAATTATCGCGTATTAGAGGTAACAAACATCCATCCATCTAAACTTTCGCATTTATTGTAAAACTTATATTTCTTTTTCATGTTATAAAAGTTTCTATATGCATCGCAAATGTTACTAAAATATATGACGTGTTAGTTCGTAAATCTTTTACTATTGTGTTAGCGTTTAAAATCGCGTTTTATACACTCGGAATGGCCTCTTCTCTTCATATTTACAATGCGCTTCGAAAAGCCAAACAGCTACTAAAATACGTAATAAGATTTTCTGCAGCGCATAATTAGAACTTTTATGATTTTGTTATATGTAAAAATGTGCATTACTTCCTAATAAGTAACATAACTTGTATAAAATGAAACACAATAAGTGAAGAAAGCAAAAAAGTCCTAAATATTCATAACGCATTTTCAACTTAAACTCAAATGTACTAAACTTCTAGGCAGTTTAAAAATTAATATAAAAATGGGACCCAATTGCAAGCAAAACTTTTCGATCAAAAAAAAAAGCACCAGGGGCGGAGTTACGCGGTAACACGCATAAAAAAACAAGACGAATTGATAACCTCCACCTTTTAGTAGTCGGCTAAAAATCAAGAAGAATTAAAAAAAATATGAATAAACATATTGTCATCCCTGTCGTTCTCTTTGAAAAAAACAGAGACAGGAATAATTCAATACATGTTTCACAGCATAGAAACTTTACTATATTCATAAAAATACTAATAATTTAGGCTCATTAATGCTTCAATAATTTAGCTTTAAAACTTTTAACATTTCAACCCCTAATATCGACAAGGGTTCGTACCCTAATCCGTCACTTATAATTTGACATCTAATTAACGATCGACTCTGAGCTTCAGTGGGCAGATACTAGATAATCTTACAAAGGCTTCGTTAGTTTGTGGTTTATTTGATACTAGCTATGTAAAAAAACTTAATAGCCTATGAGCTCTTCCAGACTATGTTCTATATCAATATCAAATTTCATCGTAATTTGTTGAGCCGTTCTAGAGATACATTCTAACATCTATCATCCATCCATTCAAATAATCGCATTTATGTACATTTCTACGAAGATATGCAGGTTGCATCATGATGTTTTCCTTCACTGTAACATCAGATAGATGTACATATGTTAATATAAAATAAAATAAGATAAATAAATAATAATAAAATAAGAGCGTCGGTGGCTCAGTGGTCAAGCATTTGACTTGCAATCTGCAGGTCCTGGGTTCGAATCCCGCCATGTACCAATATGTTTTTCCATTTCCGATTTACATATGTACATTTATCCGATGTTCTTACGGTGAAAGAAAACATCGTGATGCCACCTGCACATATCTGAGAAGATATTCAAAGATATGTGTGTGACTATGGCCTAATCACCCTTAACATAGGGTAGGCTCCGAGCCCCTCGGTGGGAACGTATAGTGAGCTGATGATGATGATGACATAATGTAAATCGAAATAGTTGTAAGATAGCGGAATAACCCAGGAGCAGTTTACAAGTCAAGTGATAAACCCTTGAACTACGAACGTAAAATGAGCAATAAATTTCCTAAATTTTAACATGTTATATAACGACATTAGTCTTCTATTGTATATTTACATGGCCTCAGTAAAGTTGTAGCGAGCGTACATAACCAGCCTTGAATTGTGGTCACAATTGCCTCACATAACCCGTCCATTCGTAAGATTACCTACGTCTAATACGGAATTTCTATTTATATTACAAACAAAGCATTTTAAACCTTATAACAAATGGTATAAGATTCAAAATACTTTAAAGTGACATGCTATAAGTGGTTTCTTTGGTAGAGGCGTGCATGTTGTAGTCGGTAAAGCTTAAATATCTGAATTATGAATTAGGTGTCAACGAATTGCTTACCTTTTTTTATTTTAATGTGCCAGTGATTAACATTTTTAACTTGATATCAAGTAAAAAATGACCGATTCGTTATTCTTTTTGTGAGTCGAAAAAATTCGAATGCTTATGGGGCTCTATAAATAAAGTTCATTTAACTTATTCCCTTCATTTAGGTCAAAAGTAGTAAATTAAATTACATCAATTTCGTATTTTTAGATTAATTTTAAATTTATTAAAAATCTTTAGTTTTCACGACTAAAAAATTAAAAAAATAAAAATAAATAACTCAAAAACTATTGCATGGTTTTTGTTTTTTCAAAAAATGGGAATAAATGAAACGCAATATCTTTCGAATGATAAAAATCGGACAATTAGGGGCGGAGCTATCGATGAAAAAAAAAAATACCAGACTTCATAAAGAAGGAGGTTATCACTCCTTCTTTATGAAGTCTGGTACAAAATAGAACGTATTTAAGAAATTTAATTAAGTTCTGTTTATCAGAGGTGTTGAGTGATTACCAAAGCTCATTTACTGAAGGCAACTGTTGAATAAATAAATATTTAAATATGGTAAACTCTATTCACTTGGCGTTTTCATGAAAAATGATACTGTCGAGGCGTGAAAGCAAATAGCTTTTGTATTTTAAATTTTTTAATAAGACGCGGGAAACAATTTTTCATAAATTAAAAAGTGAATATTTCTTTTTTTCTTTAAAAAATCAAAACAGAAAATTAATTTTAGCAAAATTTTAATAATCAATATCTTAATATAATTTCCGAAATCATTTAATGGTAATTTAAGCAGTTGCTTAGGATAGATTTCTCATACTTAGCACACACTAAGCTTAGTGATTTTATGACTATGAGCTAGAAAAAAAAAAATTTGATTTCGAACAGTATATTAATACGGTCGGTGGAGTGCAGTTGGTGCTTGACCGGACCGGACAGACATTTAATTGTCCTGGTTCGAACCCCGCTATATACCAATGTGTTTTCCGATGCTCTAATTTCATTAGTATATTTAAAAGACATTCTTACGATGAAGGAAAACATTGTGATGCATTCTACATATATCAAAGATATGTATGAAGTCAACTAACCCGTAACGTGGTTGATTGTGGTCTCATCATCATCAGCTCACTATACGTCCCCACCGAGGGGCTCGGAGCCTACCCTAAGTTAAGGGTGACTAGGCCATAGTTAACCACGCTGGCCCAGTGCGGGTTGGTTGACTTCACACATATATTTGAATTGATTCGCAGATATGTGCAGGTGGCATCACGATGTTTTCCTTCACCTTAAGAACGTCGGATAAATGTACATATGTAAATCGGATATCGAAAAACACATTGGTACATGGCGGGATTCGAACCCAGGACCTGCAGATTACAAGTCAAGTGCTTGACCCCTGAGCCACCGACGCTCCGATTGTGGTCTAATCACCCTTAACTTAGATAAATTTCTATCTATCACTGACAACAAAATACGTCATTCTCATGAATTAATAACATTTCCTACTTAAAGTGTTGCTACTCTTGTGTAACACAATCCTTAAGTATTCCATTTGATATTCAGTTTGAGACCGACTACAAATAACCCGTCAGATGTCAGGATGTTGTGGTAAACATCCAGTTAGGCGAAGATCTCTACCGAAGTTGGACGGTTTAATTGTTTATTAGCTACAGGCCGGTGATAAATTGGTCCACGTCAAACAGCCGGTGAAATACAACGGTTTACGCTTAATGATGTTTTAAAGAGTTTTTTTAAAGTGATTAATGTTTTGGTTTGTATTCTTACAAATTACGTTTATTATATTACTAGCTATCGCGTAAGCTTAAGGAACTTAATTAGTAGCCAATCCAGGCTTTGTTTTACATCGATGTTACATTTCATTTCAGATTCATGCAGCCGTTCAGGGGATATTTTTTAACAAACATCCATCCACACATTCAAATATTCGCATTCATAATATAAGTAAGATAATAAGAAATCAGTAAGGAGTTAGATTCCATGTTATAAAAGAATGTTTACCTTTTGAGTTCGCCTTTAAATCATAACTAATTTGAGCGTTTAAGTAATAATTCATATAAGATATATAAGTAATGAATAAGCATGGCTTCATGATTAATAAAACCAATTACTTAGAAACCTATGAGAATAAACGAAACTAAAAATATAACGCAGATACTTTTTTCATATCAGATTTATTGAAAACTACCTGATGCCCGCGACTCTGTTCGCGTCGAAATTAAAAAAAAACTTAATTAGTAGTCTATATGCTTTTCAAGACGATGTCCTATACCTATGGCAAAATTCATGGAGATTCGTTGAGCTATTTTGAGGATCCCTTCTAACATCCATCCATCCAAACAATCGCATTTATAATATTACTAAGTGTGATAAAAGCTTCAACAGTAACTTCATAAGGCATAAGTATGAAATCATTGTCAATACTTTTAAATACCACTGAGTTTTCACAGTTTTAAATCTTCTATATAAAAATCATGTTGTCTCAAGTTTTTTAAAAGGAACGATAAAGATGAAAATATCTTTTATGCGAATCTCGCAATTTGAAATGCGGTAACCACTAATACATTTACGATAGAATTTGTTAATTACAAGACAGACCCTGTCATTTGTCTTTAACTAAATCTATGGTTTCGTGATGCTAGTTTCACACGAGGGCAGAAAAATAGAACGTGCAGTATTGCAATCGTTTGAAATCATACTGTCCAAAATAGTAATATCATTGACATATGATGCTATAGACATAGTCGTTACTTAAACATGATAGTTGCAATGGTTAAACAAAGTGCATTCGCTATGAAGCGATTCCATAACGAACTTCAAAAATGTATATTCGATAAGTCACGTGACTGTCATGCGTCAGTTCAACACATTTTTGAAGTTCGCTATAGAATCGCTTCGAAGCGAATGCAAATTGTCTAGCCCTGCTGTTGATGCTACTGATTAATTCTATCTATATTATGAATTCAAGTCCTCAACACTGCTATTAATGGCTACCATCAGCGTCAGAATGGTAAAAACGTAATAAGCACAAAGTACCGTGACTAGTAGCCTGTCCAGGTTATATAGGTAGGTGAGTAAATTCTGTTTTGTTTTGACGTTTTGCGTTCATTAATAATGTATTGTCCTACTGTTCTTCCTGACTGTTTTGCCCTCCTGTGAAACTTGCATTAGGCTTGACAAATAGGAAGGGACTGCACGTCCTCAAATAGCTTCCGATTGTCCCCTTTAATTAAATTCAATTAAAGAAAATCGACCACTACGTTTGTGTTAGTTTCTGATATAGATTTACTGCAGTCAGGATCACTATGGGTGTCACTAAGTGTAGTTTTAGTAACTAGATTTTTGTTATAAATTGTTTGAGTAATGGTTATATTTTTAGTAACATAGCTGAATATTCAGGCTATACCTTCAAAATTCACATGTAGGGGAAACTTCTACGTCGTTAAGTAGTATATGCTACGAAGTGCTACGGAGTGCTACGAATCCTTAGAACTACACTTTGCGTTAGTGCTACGAAAATTTAAATTACACCAAAAAAGTAATTTCTATTTTAGATAATTCCATATTAATATCAATGTATAAATATGAACGTTTGGATGTACGAATAGATGGATGGATGTATGAATGGATGGATGCATGAATGTCTTCATGGATCTCGCTTAAATGATGTAAAACTAAGTCTGGAAGAACACATAGGACACTTATTAAGTTTTTTTTTCAATCTCACGCGGACAGAGTCGCGGGCGACTGCTAGTATCATATAAAAATTATTTTATATCGCCTCTATTACAGAATTAAATGAACGCTATTTCTTAGTATTTTAAATAAGAAACTGGCTGCGATAGTGCGGCTTTCAATCTTCTTTGAGATATTAACCCTCGGCCAAAGTTCAACCACTAGCTTAACTGAAAGCTTCCGGAGTAATAGTGAAAATTGTAAATGAATTTTCATAGAGAAAATGTGAGAAAAAAAGATAGAATCTTATTTAGAATAGATGAAAGTAACTCAGTTTTAATTTCTTTCATTTATATGGCTAGTAATTTGTATTAAATGATAAGTACATTTTTGTTTATTTACTAACATTTCTTGTTACTATTTCAGGAAGCTCAGCTCAGGAAGAAATTAAAAATAATAAAGTAAAACTTGTTAGTTCATTGATTTTAATTACATTTAAAATTTAGACTGATCTAGTTCATTTTATTTTAATCGAATTCATTTTTCAATTTCCTAACAATTGGCCAACGAGTCAACATAAGTACTATGCTATAGTGGGTAATCCTAATAGAAGCCGTGTACGATTACGTAAGTAGAGTATCATCATCATCATCAGCTCACTATATGTCCCCACCGAGGGGCTCGGAGCCTACCCTAAGTTAAGGGTAGGCCATAGTCAACCACGCTGGCCAAGTGCGGGTTGGTTGACTTCACACATATCTTTGAATTTCTTCTCAGATATGTGCAGGTTGCATCACGATGTTTTCCTTCACCGTAAGAACGTCAGATAAATGTATATATGTAAATCGGAAATCGAAAAACACATTGGTACATGGCGGGATTCGAACCCAGGACCTGCAGATTGTAAGTCAAGTGCTTGACCACTGAGCCACCGACGCTCCAAGTAGAGTATACGTAGAGATATTTCTACAGCATATAATACATAAAATTGTATTTAACAAACCATAGCAACATTCTGTGTATAGCCACTTACCTCCTCCACACGTAGCCGAACATAGGGATCCAGGTGTCGCCAGCCAGTGGTACCGTGGTCTGGAGCAAGATGAGCCGTCTCCCCCGCAGACCCCGCACTCGTCCACACGCCTTGTTGAACCCACACGTAGATCACAGCCGACCCGCTGCGGATCACAGTTGTAACATGAATCAACAATTAGTAATATAAATAATTTGCTACTAACAAAATTAGTTTTTAAAAAAATTTACTAGTTCATATAAATCTTATATTCAGTATATGGAATATGACAATAGAAGAAATTGTTCCGATTTCATTGTAACCTTTATTGGAGTTACGTGAGGTCGGGAAATGATCAGGCATTGTGAAATATGGAAACTTTATTACTTTTTTATGTTATTCATTCCTTTCATATGGCACAATGAGATATTTTTTATGATTACGTTTCTTTGGTGTATATCGTATATATGTATGTTATTTTTACTTATTTTTGAAGACTTCCAAGAGGGTTGGGGACTCAGGGGTTATGCGCTTATTATCTGCAGATACTAGGTTCGATTTGTTCCTGTGTATTTATTTGAAGTTCTTACGGTGAATTAAAACATCGTGATGATAAACATATTTGGGAAGGAATTCAAATATATGTGACGTCACCCGCACTTGTCCAGCGTGGTTGGCTATGGTCTAGTCACCGCTAACTTAGGGTAGGCTTTGAGTAAATCAGTGGGGACGTTTAGTGACCTGATGATATTGATTGATTTTTGTTAACAGACTATCGTGTATTTTAACCTCGAAACATCTCTTATCTCTGTGTTTTCCATAGGGAATGAAAGAGATAAAAATATTTTTTCACTCCATTGAAGGAATAATTGTAATAATTACAATTTTTCCAATATTTATTAGTATAGTAGTCATTTCGTTAGTGGCTTCACATACTTAATCTCTACTAAAGGTCACACTCAGCAACTAAACGGTCCCTGAGGTTGGCATAAATTTATAAAACATTATCTATCTTATTTTATTCTTACTAATTTCGTTGACACTTCTCGAAGTAGAGCCTAAGGGAATCTAAATCCGGGGTTGTATTTGACTTGACGTAAACTTTGTGATATCTATTTGATGTCTGTTTCAACTAACTTCGTCACTTTTATCTTGTCCGCCATTCGTGAGTCTGTTGAGATCAGGAGGGATTTTTATTTGAATATTTCAAATGTCCAATATTAAAGTTTCTTTGGACAGTTGAAGACGATGTTTTTGAACGTTGAAACGAAAGTTATTTTAAGCGAATATTGTGCCTACTGTTGGTTATATCTTAATTGGCCTTAATGTAAATAATTAAGTGTTACTCGTGATTTCTTCCGGAATTTAAAAAAAAATGTAATTGGTAGCCTATATGTATTTCTATGTCATTATGTCAAATTTCAGCTAGAACAATTCTAACTCTGGAAATACTTTCTAACAAACATCCATCCAAACATTCGCATTTGTAATTAGTAAGAAGTAAGATAAACAATACAGTTAATGCCGTTTTTTAATCGTTAAATAAAAAAAAAACTTAGTTGCTTACAAGAATAGAGGCAGTCATTAAGGCTTTATAATTAATTGCTGGAACACTTCCGGTAAGCTGGATACGTAAAGCTTTGCGGTCTTGTTGCTGGAGTATCGATTAGAGCCTTGAATTATTGATGTACTTAACAAGCTTCTAGCTTAGCTACCGGAAATAGTAAATTAAGCACACTGTACACGTACTACTTGAGTAAGTTAGTTTTTTTAATTTATACGTATATGTACTTTGAAATATATTGCTTAAAATATTCTAGCCATAATAATGAAATCTGAATTGGAATACCAAAAAAATATATCTGACTTCATCATACCGAATGTTCTGTAGGGGGAAAAACATATTGGGCCGACTGGCGTAACGGTTCGTAGTAATTTTCACAAACTATTCAGAAAAACATAATTGGCAACTTACTTAAGTCAATAAATTGGAAAATTAAAAAAACATATTTAAAAAAATAAATTAATCTTAGATGAATTAGAATAAACAGCTGTAAGTGGCCTGACTGAACTTTTTTTTTTAATATTATATGGTAGCAAAAAAGCGAAGCGGCCAACACTTAATTATTTGGAACTACATGTGTGTTGGCTACCTTTAATCGACGAAGGAGGGTATGCAAAGAAAGAGTATTCCCCTTCCTATGCATAGCCTTCTCCGTCAAATCCTGATCCCCTTCTCACCTTTTTCTCATAAGAAATGGTGTACTAAGTTGTTCGTGAAATTTATTATCCTGTTAGTCTAAAAATAATTTTTGAATTCTCCTGTACGTCAGACATCGAAACTTATTTAAAAAAAGAATTAATATTCCAGTTGTGCAAGACTGGGATTATGCAAATCGCCCTCGAACTTTCCACTTAAACAATATATGAAATTATGCAAAACGGCAGAAAGACTGGCTGGTGATTGTGAAGTTTTATCACTTTCTGAGTGTCCGACAGAGAATCACAAGTTGAAAAGTTCCGTGAAACGTGACATCCTTAAAAGATATTACATTTGGAAAATATTAAACGTTGCTTGCAGCTTTGAGATTATTCAATGTAGGACAAATGTTACTACAACTAATATTATATTATAAAATATTTGGATATATGTAATTTGTTAATGAGAAAGGAATTCAGATATGTCGGTTGAGTATACATACATGTAATATAACTAATCCCTGTAGGGACAAGGGTTTTGTTGATACAAAATTATTAAAAACTAGCTGTTACCCGTGATACCGTCCACGTGGAATTAGAACAAAGAATATTAGCCTATGTGTTCTTCCAGAATATGCTATATATCTATACCAATTTTCATCGAGATCCGTTGAGCCTTTTTGAAGATGCATCCTTTAAAAAACATCTAACCATTTGCATGCATTAATATTAGTAAGATGTATGTATACAGCGTGTCACAAAATTCAAAGATAAAACAGTACTGGTGTAGCCAGATCGATCGAATCCAACTCTTTTTGTTTAAAAGTTACTTTATATCATTTGATCCCTTGGAGGGTGGACCACATGATATTGTGGCTACAAATATAAACATATTCCTGCAATTTTTTATATTAGCTAACTAAATAACATAGCTAATAATTGCAGTTAAAATATCTGGGCTTGTGTTAAATATACTAGGTCATATGATAGTTATCAATAATAATATTGAGAATCTCATTACGTGGTCGTGTATCATTCACAAGCCCATCGTTAATTCACCAGGCTACGTTAATTCGAGCGCTCGCCTGACGAGAAATTTCCGATTATCATATTTAAGTAGGCGAGCTGTGTTCAGTGTTGGTATAGCTTTAATTATAATCAATGTTTTATAAGGCAATTGCAGCTAGTTTTATTACGATTAAACAGTTTTTTTTTAGTTTGCCTGGTGTGGTAATGCCAAGAAAAATAGCCACGTATCTCCTTTTTTTTCGTATACTTTTACTTCTGCTTCTACTATTTATAAAATGAAAAAACGTAAATTAAAATCACAGAAATGATGACGTGATTCCGTCCGCGTAAATTAAAAACTTAATTAGTAGCCTATGTGTTCTTCCAGACTATATTCTACATCAATGCCAAATTTCAGCGAAGTCCATACAGCCGTTCTGAAGATACATGCAAACAAACATCCATCCATCTAAGTTTCCACCTTTATAATATAACTCAGCTAGAGGAATTAAAATATTGTTAATCACAAACGTTTCCTTAGTGAAAATCCACTGAATATTGTTACGTAGTTTAAATACAATGAATATTTAAAGAAGCACAATATAAAATGCAGGCGTCGAACCTTATAAAAACTGAAATCGCGTGATAGTAATTTATAAAAAATACCTTTCCGAGTTGACTCAATGCCTTTTACTTTAAAACAAAAAAAAATAGGAATTGAAACCTTCTGACACAATAGCGGGATGCGACCTGACATCATCAGGAAATGGGGACGCGAAATAATAAGGCTTGTGTGTGGTCCAAGTGATAAAGATAAAGCGATTTAATAAAAATAAAATAAGGACAAAAATATGGAGAATGGTAACTTATGGCCTTTTTCCTATCCAAAATTTTCTCTTCTACTCCTTTTTTTCTTTTTTTACTTTCATTTTAAAGTCATAGGTTTTTAAATGTTAAATAGACAGTCTTATTGTGGCGCATTTCAAAATGTAGCATAAAGAAAATCAGTTGAGAGATTTGCCCTTTTTTACAAGTCAAGGGGTCAGACGAATGTCGGGAACATTGAGGTGATTAACGACACCCATGGACATCTTCAACACGAGAGGAACTGCAGATGCGTTGCCGGGCTTTAAGGAAATAGAAGTGTCGCTTCTTGAAGGACTCTAGGTCGTATTGGTATGAAAATACCGCCGAGGATAGACTATTTTACTTTTGTTAGTTACTGCAATAGAAACTTTAAAGTATAATAAGTTTTATTAAATATCCAGTTTTTTTTCATTTCGTTACCTTTGAATATAATATGATGAATCTCTTTTGACTTGTACCACAAGTTACAGCGGCCGTACCGGGTACGCCTTTGTCTAGGTACTATGTTTGCTCTCGTTTCTAAAATTAAAACTATGCGGCCCGGAATGTTAAGCCTTGTAATATTTCGTTTGCCACTCGAACAAAATAGAATACATTTTATAAAAAAAAATGTTTTTATAAAAAAAAATGTTATAAAATAAAACAAAATTCTATGTCGCCAGTATATTGAAAGAAATAATAGTAGAAGATTAGTTCTAATATCTACTATTCCTTAACTTTCTGATATAGGGCTTCAATTAGACCTATGTCGCATGAAATTTAATTAACACAAATTTCTTTTTCTGCTGTCCTAGTAGGATAGATTTTTAGAATGTTGAAAAATATTACGTTAGGTGACCTCACGTTAATCTTTCTACATATTTGTCTGCCTGTTAGTTGAATGTGGATGGCTACAAAGGTAGAGGAAGACCAAATAAAGTATGTAAGGATTGCGTGAAAGATATGTGTAAGAAGGGGGTGGATTCAGATATGACGGCTGATAGAGATGTATAGAGGAGTACTGTGCCAACCCTCCGTAGGGATCATCAGATTCATGATGATGACTAATTGACATAGATATCTAATAAAAACGTATTAAAACTTTTAAATTAT